TTTTAATATAATCAATTTTTATATTTAAATGTTAATATTTAATAAAATAAATTTTTAAATTTTAAATTAACTTTTAATTAAATAAAACGACATAATTTAATATTGTGACTCCAACTTATTTTGAGAATTAAAATTAATACATATTTTTTCTTAATTATTATTAAACTTCTTGATATTTTTAATATGAACAAATGTCTTAATTTTTTCTTTTTTTTTTTAACAATAATTATTAGTTAATAATCAATAAAACAATTAAGAAATATTATTTAATAGTTTAAAATTAACTTATAAATATATGTTTTTAAGGATATAAGCTAATAAAATTAAACAAATTAAACACATTTATAGCATTTTATGTGGACATATCATGCCCTCGAACTTGCTTGGAAACTTCATAAGTCAATAATGTTTGCAATTATTTCTCACTCATTTCACAATATAAATGGCAGGAAAACTCAAATGTCTATTAATAATATTCTACTTTTAACTTAATACAAATTTTACATAAATTATTAACCATCAGATGTAATAAATCCCAACAGATAAATTCTATTACTTGTCTATTTTTAAAGATAATGATGTCCACTTATTTAAGTTGGTGCAAGAATTTTCGTTCACATTTAAATAATTTAGTGATAATCTCCTTTCACTGAAAGTAAAAGATTCTAAATTTGATTCATATGATATGTCGATGAGGTGAAATAAAGAATGAAAAAGAATTACTTCTCATAATGCAACAAACATAAAAAATAAAAATAAAAATAAAAAAACCCCTACTTAAGGAGGTGGGGGAATTAGCAAATCTGACCAAGTTAAGGAACAAGATAAGTTGAATGGACATTTTGAGGTCATTGCGTTTTCACTTGTATGAATGGGTAGAAAGCCAAAAAGAAAGAAATTATCTCCAAGTCGTCCGCCAACCCCGCTTCTAGAAAACATACATGCGTGGTATTTGGCAATGCGGCAAAGGCAAAGATGCTTCACATGGTAGTGGGCTCCATTGCATTAACAAACACTTTTAATATAATAATTATATTCTAAGTCCCAAGTGAGATCGTCAAAACCCAGCTGCAAGCGACTGCAATCCGCCCACTAAATATTATATTTCTAAAAATTTACCTAAAAAA